TTTTTTTTTTTATTCAAGTGTATTTTTTTAGAGACTGAGTCCACTTTGTTACACATTCTTTTAAAAATTAAAGTTTATTGATTTATTACATTTACATATTATGCTTTTATAATTATTAGTTGTAAAATGGTCACCAGGCAATATTATCACTTATCACAATAATTTTTGAGACAATTAAATCGCCCAGCAAAATTTGTTATCGTGACAGGCCTAATTGTTGGTACTGCTCAGAATTTTTGGAATAATATTCAAAACATTTCCTTCAAGAGACCTATAGTCAAGGTAATTCAGCACATTTTGATTAAAAAAAAAATCACAAATTTTTCTACCCATGCACTATAGCTGCCAATTACCTTACCCAACACTTGTGATTTAATACACTAATACAGCTTTCAAACAAGTAGGGTCTGAATCTGGTTGGTTAGAGCTGTGTCACACATCACTCTAAAGCGTCTGAAGGTGGTCTCACACTACAACATGCTGTATTTACAAACCAATACCCAAGCTCTCCCCAAGTCTGTTCACAATAGGAAAACAGTATAACTGTGTGAAGGGGCCCCCATGACAGCACTGCATCGAATTGGTTTTGTTTTGGCACTGTTCACATCCTAGAACTCAGGCATTCTTTCCACCCGTCAAACAACAATGGTACTAGTGTTACAGTTGGAAGGCCAGTGGGCTTGGCTCTCCACTTCCTTACTCTGGCTGTCGTTAACTTGGAGGGGTGGGTGCAGCCATAGTGATTAAATGGTATGATGACTGTACATAACACTTTTCTAGCCAACCAGACTACTCAAAGAATTTCACAACACAATCAGAAGTCTCGTTTACCCATCCACACACACACACACACACACACACACACACACGTACAGCTTTCTACTACATCTCTACATAGCTAATCTGAATAAATCATTCTAGAGACTAATCAGTGCTTTAGATTGCATTCATACACCAATGAGGTATAATGGAGTCAGTGAGTCAATGAGGGGTTTAGTCTTTTGCCCAGGGATACACTGACAGGTGAGAAATTGAACCTCCAACTGCAGAGAGGACTGCTGTAACCACTGAGCCATAGCCGCCCAAATAAACTAATATTTCCAAGGAAGTTCACATGCATCGGGTTACAAGCAAGACATTAAAAAAACCCAACTGAATTCCTGTCACTTACTGGTTTAGGCATCTTTGCTTCCTCTCCTCCTTACACCCAACAGTTGAGAGGATAAATCCTTCACAGGAAGGCAGCAATCTACAGGAGCTGAAAGTAAAGAAAACATTTCTCAACCAAGTACAAGTTGCATCAAACCTGTTAAAAATTACTTAATTGCCTTTTATTTTCTGTGATTGAAACAGCTTAAATCCATTTTATTTCAGTAACAGAGATGAAAGGTTAGAAAACACAACCTTTAACTTTATTACTTTCAAACTAGGCTCTTATATCCAACCTTTAAAGTAGCTGTGTGGACCAAGCAGATCAGGGAAAATCTAATGCAAAAATCGCAGAGAAAAGGGGGTGAAAAGCAAATAAGGCACTCATGAGCCAAAGAGAAAAAGAGTGTTTCAATCCCATCTTGCACCACTCTTTCGCTTAAGGGTACAAACTATATTTCACAAGTCTAAAAGAACAGGCAAATATGTTCTGTTAACAATTAAGGCATTGTCTAGTTGCTTGGAGATAAATGTACCGTCAGTTTGACAGAAAAGTTCATAATCTGCAGTCACTATGGGCTTTCTTACACTACATTTAACAAGCTTAACTGTTAAATTAGACACACCTGGGTGCTCCTGTGTGGTCTAAATGTACAAAACATTCAAAAAGTACAGCGTAAACAAAACCTGCAGTGTGAATAAAACTGCTTGAATGGAAAAACTGCACAAGTTTACAGCAAGTTGCTAAAACAAGGTTTCATTTAGTTGTGTGGAAAAGTAATTTGTAAGTAAGCAAGTAAGTAGAGTTTTATTTATAAAGCGCCTTTCACAGAAATATATTCACAAGGTGCAGTACAATCATTAACAGTATAAAAATGGTGAAAAGAATAAAATGAAACAGAAAAACATAATTACACATAAACGAAAATTGAAACATCAAATCAGGTATTAATTTCTAAAATTGTAACTCATGCACAAGGTCAATGCAGGTCAAAATATACAGTAATACACAAAATCATAATGAATGCGGGAGAGAAAATATGGCGTAAGTTCAATAGTAAAGAAAACAAAGATTAGCGAAGCATTCACAATGGAGGTAGGCTGGTAGTAATGGTGAAACGGTTAGCTAAACGCTTGAGAGAAAAAGTGTGTTTTTAGGACTGTCTTGAAAAAGACAATGGGCCTCATGCAAGAACAAGTTCGTATTCTTATTCTAAATTTCTCTTACTTTTGTTCGTATGAAGGGTTCGTACGAACATGTCATGTCAAATTCAACAAACTCTTCTATCTTCAGGAAAAGTGTGTAAATGAGCTG